AAGAACTCAGGAGAGGTATTGGAAGAACAGCAAGGTGTTTCAATGTATGGTTTTAATGCCTTCAAATAAATTATAGAGTAGCAGTCCAGCTTGGATCTATTATCACTGAAATCAAATGTGTTAAAAATACTACTGATACTGAAACCCTGCAAGTTCCAGGTCAGTGATCTGTGCCAGTGCTGGCAATTGCTCCAATACAAACTCACTGTACTCATGGCAAAGAAGCCCAAACCTGCTTAGTACACAGTGGAGTGACGCAGCCACCATCACAAGGCCATTCAGTCCCAGAAGATCTGGGATCAAACAAAGAGAGCAGCAGAACTTTACTAGAAACATCTGTGTGTTGTCACTACAAAGGCAGAAGAAGAGTTTGGATTTGATATCCCGCTTTATCACTACCCGAAGGAGTCTCAAAGCGACTAACATTCTCCTTTCCCTTCCTCCCCCACAACAAACACTCTGTGGGTGAGTGGGGCTGAGAGACTTCAGAGAAGTGTGACTAGCCCAAGGTCACCCAGCAGCTGCATGTGGAGGAGCGGGGACGCGAACCCGGTTCACCAGATTACGAGTCTACCGCTTTAACCACTACACCACACTGGCACCCACCACTAAACTGACTAGCTACATAAGACTTGTCACTGAAATGCTAGTTTAGTGGTTTTGAACTATGTACAAACTAGTATAAGGGTAAGGGGACCCCTGACCATTAGGTCCAGTCGTGACTGACTCTGGGGTTGCGGCGCTCATCTCGCTTTACTGGCCAAGGGAGCCGGCGTACAGCTTCCAAGTCATGTGGCCAGCATGACTAAGCCGCTTGTGGCAAACCAGAGCAGCCAATGGAAATGCCATTTACCTTCCCGCCGGAGCGGTACCTATTTATCTACTTGCACTCTGACGTGCTTTCGAACTGCTAGGTTGGCAGGAGCAGGGACCGAGCAACGGGAGCTCACCCCGTCGCGGGGATTCGAACCGCTGGCCTTCCGATCGGCAAGCCGTAGGCTCAGTGGTTTAGACCACAGCGCCACCCGCGTCCCTACAAACTAGTATACAGAAGGCCAAAAGAAAAACTATTATCAAATAGATTAATATGCTACAGTTTAGTACTGACAAGGATAACAAAAGCTTCTGCCTGGTGTGGCCTGTACAATCAGTGTTAGAAACTGGGATAGAAAAGCTAGGAGCCAAATGCTTCTGGGACCTGGGTTGTGGGCCAAAACAGAATGTCTAGTTGCCATGGGGGAAGGGGTCAGCAACACTTTTTATTTATTATTTTGATAAGCATGAACTAATGCACAATTCACATAAGTGGCACATTGTTAATATCACATTTTTAGCAGAAATTGTTAATACATGTTTAATTAAAGGTGAAGGTAAAGGGACCCCTGAAAAGTAAGTCCAGCCGCAAACGACTCTGGGGTTGCGGCGCTCATCTCGCTTTACAGGCCGAGGGAGCCGGCGTTTACCTGCTTCCACAGACAGTTTTTCCAGGTCATGTGGCCAGAATGACTAAGCCTCTTAGTCATGTTTCATTAGGTGTTTACAATAAAAATGTTGGTACCATACTTCAGTTTTTAAAACATTCTACTCTTTATTGTTAAATTCCTTAACATATTGTCTATTCTTAACATATACTGTACTTTTAAGCTTCAAAGCACATATATTTCAGTAATCCTTGAGTGTCAGCAAGGCATAAAAAATTGCACTCTGCCTTTTTGAGGTGCCCACAAATGGAGAACCTTTCGGAGCAATATGCGCCTGGCACCCTGCTAATTTTGAACCCTGTGTACAATTCTATATTTTTCTACTGTGTCCTACCTTTCAAACAGATAATGCACATCACAAGAACTCAACTTCACACATACCCCAATTAACCAGGGTCCACAAACTTTGGCTTGGTTTACTAGCCAGCCATTGCTTGTTGCTGCCCTCATGCCTCATTTCTGTGCCTCAGAGCAAAAGGAGGGAAGGAGAGAGAGAAAAGAAAGGGCCCAAGTTTGTTTAGTTTACAATGGAGTTTCTGCCTTTTGTAATAATGATGATGATGATGATGAAATACCCAATCCCCCTCTCCTACATTCTCTGCAATACACAGAAGGAAAGGCACTTGCTACTAAAATGATGTGTTCGGGTGAAGGGGCTGAGTTGGTCCAGGATCCATTGGATCCTGAGTGGGTCTCACTGACAACATCAGGCATGATAGTTCTGCCCCCCACTCAATCTTCTGTGGTGGCTACAATGAACAGCAGTGCTGCTTGGCCCTGCTGCTCAGCAAAGCCTGTGGTAGTTGGGATTGTGCCTCAAGTCCTTTTGAGAGAGTGCGTTTTTAAAAACTATTTTTTGACTAGAAAGCCTTTTAACAAAAATTAGTGTATATATTGAGTCATTGCTCCATGTTGGATGGGTATTTTGAATTGCAACTACTATTGACTACTTGAGATGGTTAATCAAGGGCTCCATAAATCTCCTTTTGGGCGCTTCCCATGGGGAGGGGATTCCACTGGCAGCTCTCCTTACATTCAGCTGATAGAAGGGGGAGTTTGAGTGCTAAGACTGATGCAAGATCCTGAGGGTGGGGGTTGAACTGCTCTGCCTATTTGCCACTTTCAAAATTATTTGGGGATAGCTGGGAAACTATTTGTCTCTTACTAACATTTCAGTTTCCTGTAAATTTTCAAGACCTGTTTTGTCTCTTGGTAAAATTTCGGATTCCTGTAAATTTTCCAACATTGTTTTTGTAACAAGACTCACTTAGGTTTTGCATTTATTTTGTGATTCCATACATGAGCAACACAAGTATACAATCCGTTCAGAAATTAAGAGTTCAAGTTTGATATAAGTTTGGTTTTAGGTTAGAAATCACTTTCTAGGAAATATCAGCTTTCGGTTTCAATTTTTGATAGGCTTGAAATCAATGCCTGGTGAGATCTCCTATCAAGTGGAAAAGCTAAGGCCTTTCATGGTTAGTTGCGCAGTTTCAGTAACTTGTGTAGCTCTTTGTTTCTCCATGTAACAAGGAGTAGAACTGAATCTGAGCTGCATCCCTTTTCACACTTGAGAGTGTATCCCACTGAACTCAGTGTGAGTGAACTCAGTATTTCCAAGTCAAATGGGTATGTAGAATAAAAATAAGGTAAATACACAATGAATTTACTCCTACTATAGTGAACATTTCTCTCAGCATACTGACTGTAGAACATTACATGTTTTTCCTTCAATAAAACTGAGGTAAATCAATGCCAAGTTTCCCATTAATACCCTAAGAGGCCTGCTGGATCAGACATATAGTCCATCTAGTTCAGCATCCTGTTTCTGACAGTGGCCAACCAGATGCCTCTGCAAAGCTCACAAGCAGAACATGTCCACAAAAGCCCTCGCACTGTTGCTCATTCAACTACTTAATCCTAAACATGTTTACTCCATGTTCCACAGACCTCAGTGGGACCTAACCCCCTGCTTAAGTACAATTTAGGGTTGCAAGTTGGCTGGAGCTTTCAACAATATAAATTTAGCAGCAATTCTTTGCACAACTAAGAACTGAGTACAATGTCTCAATCATACAAATCTTTTCCACTGCAACACTTACTGGAATCCAAGGCAACTGATTGAAAACACAGCCTTGTGACCTTTTCAGAGCACTGTTAAGATCATGTAACCCATAATCTGAAAACTCAGAATTACATATCAAGGGTGTACTGCTGAAAGTGTAGCAGTGATAGTATCAACACACGAAGGGTGTTAGTTCTGGAAGCTCTTTCTTTTAAATCAGATACTTCCTGTTTTTAACTTTTAAGCTACATGTGAAAAGATAAATCGATACAATATCATGCCCATTTTTTGTGCTCCATAATATGCCAAACATGATAGCACCCAAAAACTCAAGAGAAATATGTGCATATGTGTTTTATCTGGCAGCATGAAATCAAAACATCCAGTGCCAAATCCAGTGTTTTTCATACCTGTAGAAATGAATGGACCTAACTAACCTAGGTCTGTTCATTTTATTTATTACATTTATACCCCACCTTTCTTCCAGGGTGTTCAAATGTGCACAGTTCAGCCCTCTCACAATTTCATCCTGACAACTACCTTGAGAGGCAGGCTAGGCGGAGAGACAGCGACTAGCCCATGGCCACCCAGTGAGTTGGGGACCAGAACCCTCGTCTCCCAGGTCCAACATTCTAGCTACTACATACCACGTTGGCGCCAATGGGCCTACTCTGATTCAACGGATGCAACCCTCTCCCTTAAAAAAAGGGCACTGCAACAAAACCTAGCTCGCATTTGGGAAGGGGAGAGAGACTTGGCTAAGCCCATTTACTTCGGCCAGCGCTCTTGGGAACCACCACCGTGAGCCAGCAGCGGACTCTGCTGCTGCCTGAGAGCCGACGCGAGGCTTAGGTAAAGCTGCGCCTGCCATGCGGGTGTCGTGCGCCGCTTCCCACCAGCTTGCCTGGGCCACCGCCAGGTCTCGCCCGCCTAGTTCGTGCGAGCGAGCGAGAGAGAGCCCGCCCCGGCCGCCTCCCTTCGCCCTGCCGCGGCTCAGCAGAGGCAGGGGCGCCGGCTGCAGCGGCGGAGAGGGCGGGGACCAGCGCCGTGACTCGCGCGGCTCAGAACCCAGGCCCGGAAGGTGGCGGGGGGGGGCGCCTTCCATCCGCCCTGCTTGCGGCTCCCATTCATTCCCGGCAGGCGGATGCTCGCAAGGCGCCGCCGCCCCTCAGGCGCGCACCGGCTGGTCCCTCCCGCGATGGCTGCTGGCTGTTGTCGCCACCAGGCCGGCCTCGCCCCCCGCGCCCTGCAGCGGCGGGGGAAGGAAGGAGGGTGAAGTCGCCGCCTGCCTGCCTGCCCCGCTCACCGGAAGCGCCGCGCTGCCCTCAGCGCTTTCCTCGGGGCTCCGGCGGCCCCGGGCCTGGGCGTGAGGCCCGGCGAGGCCTGCGCGCAGCTTGAGGGCCGAGCGGGGCAAGGGGGTGGGGACAGGCCGGAGGAGGAAGGGGAGCGGGTACCTTGATGATCCTGCGGGGCAGCCCGGCCATCTTGTCTTATTGGGATTCAGGCTCCGCTGGGTCTCGGCTCCGCTCGGGGCTTACGCACTACCGGAAGGAGCTCTGCGCTTCACTTCCCGTGACGTCACCGGCAGCGCCTCCCGAGGCCCGCTGGGAAGTGTAGTCCCGTTGCCAGGAGGCGCGGACAGGTTTGTTCTGCCCGCACCTTCCGAATTAACACAGGTGCCTCGTGTCAGGAGCTTCCGTGGAGGGCAGAGTGCCCTTCGCCAGAGACACACGAAGCGTTAGCCATAGAAGAATGTTGATTTAAACATTGCCGCGCCAAGAACCTGAGTTCTGCGAGAAATTTTTTTGCCTGTCTTCCCTTATTTTATGTATTTTATCCTGCTTCTGTTACTCATGGAAAATGCATTGAGCTGAGCAAGACTATGACTATATCGTAGATCGCCTCACACTTTCAAATCTGTCTTTGCGGCCTTAAGAACTAGAGCTTTGCCTTCTTAAAGTGAAAACTAAGGTTTGCAGGATGCTAAATTTGGCAATTTGGAGTAAATGCCACACGCTCTAGCTGCTGCTAGCAGCTAGGAATGTTTTATAAAGAGAAAGAAACAGTCAGAACTCAGATCACCAAGTAAAAAGAAGGCAACTAAAATGTAAGTAGGCAGGGACAATGATTAGTAAGGTCCATAGACTTATGATCTCATCTGTATGTCTATGTTCTGATCGGGGCATGATTCATTTGATGCAGACTCCAAAATGAGGAACAAACCAAGATCTTCCCCCATGACCTAATGACCTATGTTATATGCAATTACATGCTTCCAGCTTCGACCCAGAACACACTACAAGCTACAGTCCTATGCATGCTTACTTGAGAATAAATTGAACTCAGAGGGACTATTAATGACATCAGGCTATTTGACTTTTATTGGCAGACTGTGGGCTTTTTTGTTTTCAGATTTTCTACTGTCATGGCTTTTTAATTAGGTCATAAGGAGAATGCTGTGGCATTCATTTTCAAAATATGTAAGAGGGTTACAGCATTTTATATATCCTCTCAACATCAGCTGACTACCACCTATGTAAAGCAACAGAATTATACAGAGATCATATCTATCTTCAATCAATGTATAAACAAACCTCACAATAAAACTTGTGCATCAGTTAATGCACAAAAATGGAAGATACAAAATTCTTGAATATCTCTTCTGACAGGTAGGAAAACATGGTTACATTTGTTTAGGTAAGATTTGGACTCATATTCATAGATATCAACAAAAAAAGCTACAGTTTCTGTAGCAATCTTATTTGCATCGGGGAGAGGGGGAAAGTGCAATGTTCAAATGATTAAACTATATATCAGATTAATCAGCTCTTTCTGGATATCTCAGTGTTAGTTACAAAATAATAAGGCATGCCATACTGTGTCCATTCCCTCTGAACCACAGGGACAGAGTAGGATATCGCCATGTCCTATCCAAAAGAGCTGAAAGTGTCACATTGAAACGTGCAAGAGTGGAATTTTGAAACATTTGGTTTGTTTACAGAGGTAGGGTAAAAGCCAAATGACAAAGGTGAGCTGGACTTATTGGCTACTGAAAGCAAATATTGAAAGTCTGTATCATTGATACACAGACTAACACAAGATCTAGCCTTGGCAAAACCATGTGAACAATGCTGTGATTGAGAGAAGACCAGAACGCCAATTTAGCAACTTAGCATCTTCACCCATAAACTTACATACTGATCTAAACAAAACCAACAATACAAAAGAGTTGGTACGGGTGATGCAGGACACATATTAGCAGCTGAAATAACATGCATATAGTTAGTTTGAGAGACAGCTACAAGTCCTTCATTCAGCTATACCCAAATACAAATTAAAGGAAATAAAGAACTCTATGCAGCTAGGCTGCCCAGATGAAAAAGAGGACAGAGTTCCTGCACTTATGTGCAGAAGAGGTGATTTTAGTAGCTTTAGTTTGCATGGCAACAAGTTACAACTCCTGAAATTCCCGCTTCTGCGTAACTTTGAAAGCTGCAAGCATCCTGTTCTCTTTTCTATCTCTTCCTTGAGGGTGTGCCAGAGGAAAAGGAGAGAGGAGGAGTGTGTGAACTGAAGGTTTGTTGCAGCTCATTCCTGTCAAGTTAAACAATGGTCTGAATTCAGCCTGTGCAAATTTGTGTTCTGGATTTCTTACAGTAGTTGTATTCCAAAAACAGCCCAATTCACCCTATGCATTAATTTGATATCTGAATCAAGTCTATATAAAACTTAAGCCAGGTGACATTCAAAACAATAGTAGTAAATTAGTGATAACACAATTTTGCTGCTTTCTTCAGTACTCTGGGAAAGTGTTTTAGCTCAATGGTAGAGCATCTGTTTTGCATACCCAAGGTACCAGGTTCAGTCCCTAGATAGGGCTGAAACCCTGGAGAGCCACTTAATATCAGTGCAGACAATACTAAGCTAGATTAGCTAGATGAACCAATGGCTTGACTCTATATAAGGCAATTTTCTATGTTCCACAGTAGATCAGGATCGATAATTAAATACAAAAGTTGACTAGACTTCTACTCCTTGAGTAGTTGTGTGAAGGAGGAATTCCAGCAAGTGCAGCCTTTTCTCAACTTTGCTTGACATGCAACACCACTAGAAACCCCCACTTCTACACAAGAACAGTACAGTTCTAGTAAAGGCACTGCAATCCTGTCCTCTTTTGTACCTGTGTCAAAATGAAACTTCTCTTTGTATATGCTACTGTTGGGCATCCACACAAACATAATGTTACCTCTCATTTTGCATTTTGCAACCCTGCTAGTACTATTTTGGCCTAAACTCTGTAGCTTATGAAGGCTTTGCCATGAATTCTAAACTAAAGGTTTCTAATTGCTTTCCCCATTGTTTTTAGGTTTTTCCAAGTTTATGTAATCATAATCTAACTACTTGTAAGTGAGAAGCTGTCCCAGAGAGAGGGAGGGAGGAAGAGAAATTCATTCCTAGAAGCAGATTCCTTTTAGATTCAACTGCAGTTAGCCCTGTAACTCAACTCCTTGCCTTTCAGTCACAAGCAGTGAAATTATATGCCAATCCCCTTTCCAAATTATCCTTGCTTCAACTTTGCTTCCTGCAAAGACTTTTTAAAGATACCAGCGACATTCCAACTCAAGTGCGTAGCATTTGAAACTCTATTCATAGCTAAGAGCTACGCCAAGAATGAATCTGAGAAGATTTTAGGTTATTTTTTTAGAACTGTCATGTTTGCATGAGCAGTTTGTTATACCATAGCAGCAAAAAGTCAGATTTGCTGAATTCTGCTTCATATTGATTAAAGGGAAAGAGCTCTGCCTTTGATTCTATCTAATCACATAGGCACATTTCTGCTACCATGCCTGTGTAATCCACAACACTCTTCATAAGTGACTGAGTTGAATTCACAAAAATAGTGGCAAAAGTTGTATAAGTTGCCACCTGCAGTGCTCCTCAGCCTTTATTTAAAGGCTGCCTGGCATGCAGAAATTTGTTAGACAAAACATTTATCAACATTTCAACCCCATACTAGGAACACAGGAAGCAAACTGAGTCAGACTATTGGCCATCTATTGCAGACACTGGCTGGCAGCAGCTTTCCAGGGATTCATACAGACGTCCTTCTACCTGGAAATGAGGCACATTTTGCATGCAAAACAAATCTTCTCCCAAAGAGGGTAGTTGCCTTACACTGAGTTAGACCAAGTTCAGTATTGCCAACACTGACTGGTAGCAGCTGCCCAGCCCAGGCTTTCAGACAGGAATCTTTCCAAGCCCTACCTGAGGAGTTGAACCTGAGATTCCCCCACCATCACCACCAACAAGCAGATGCTTTTATGGTGAGCTGTGCTCCTTCCCCAGAGCAGGGAAAGTCTCGCCTGCTGAAGTTAGGGTGAAGCAGTTGGCTGGAAGAGAAATGCCCCTGTACCAACTCTTTCTAGTTCTATGTATCAGTGTGGGTGGAAAGTTTCTGTGCTCCTAAAAAATAAAAATAAGAGCAGAGCAAAACCAGCAAGAGTCTTGTGACAAATTAAAGACTAACGTGCTCTGATGTTTTTGCTGCAACCCACTGTATAAATTAAAAACATGCAGTCTTAAAAACCTCAGCTGCTTTCTAATTGGGCATCCTTCGGAGGGCCCTTGCCAGGACTACATTTCCCAACGTGCTTTGGGGCTTAGGCGAGCAGCTCCCGGACGTTGCCTCGCGAGTTCCTTTTTGCCGTAAAGGAAGAAGCGGACGGTTCCTGCGAGAGCGGCGGGCTCCGTCGCTGCTGGGTTGGCTCGTCCGGGTAAGCGGCTTCCTTCCTACCTTCAGCTTTTCCGACTTCGCCTCCTGGCCGCCTCGCCCTGGAAAGTGGGGGAGGCAGCCGGGGAGCAAGGAGAGCTTTACCTGTCGGTTTGGCGCTTGGGAATCCTCTCCTTGCTCCTGCCGGGGCAATCAGCGCCGAAAGCGAAAAGCCCCTTTCCTAATCCTTTCCTGCCGTTGGGGCGCGATGAGGAGGCGAAGGGAAGCAAAAGCGCTTCCCCACGTGCAGAATGCCCCGGTCGCGTCATTAGGCGCGCGTGTTCACTTCTGCCTCCTCCTAGCAGCGATTTCACAGCGAGAGCAAAGCGCCCGTGGCTGAGCTGTTGCCAATGATGCCGCCGCACCCTTCCTTAAAATGGATCCGAGAAGTTCTAGCGTTGGACATTAGCGTTCTGACGACCGGCCGAATCATCCGGGTTCGTTTCTCCAGTGCGGCAAATACTTATTGGCTGGCTTGGATGGTTAGTTGCCGCTCTGGAGAGACCTTGGATCTGCATCTGAAAGTGCACACACGCGTGTACAGAAGCGAGCCTGAGGCGAATCAAGGCAGGCATAGGATACATACTGTTCTTGCTCGCCGCTAGGGGTGTAACCAGTGGAATTCAGTGTAAAGAACGTTGCCCGCATTCCCTATATGTGGTGTTGACAGCCTTGCACGCGAATCCATGAAGGTTACTCGCTGCAACAAAAGTTTAGTGGCTCTTTGTTTAAAGTCTTTGTTGAAGGTTAATAAACACGAAACAGCGTTGGTTGCTCTTGGGACCCCGTGGTAGTAGAGGCCCTCTCCAGGGCCACTTCCTGCCTCTCTCTGAATAAAGGACCCCTTCTTCAGAGGGAGGCTTGGGCCCACACTACATAGAAACCTGCTGCAGCATTGCTAGCTCCTTCCTTACAGCTGCAAATGCTGTTTAAACAGTATTTGCTGTAGCTGCAAAAGTGGTGCTGCTGCTCCATATCTGGTGGGAGGCTCTTGATAGTGGGGGTCGCAGTGGTGGTGGGCAGCAGCCACAGACAGTCCTGCAAGCAGCAGATGGGAGTGGAATCTGCCACCTGAGCCAAACCTGTCCATCATAGGTGATACCATCTTGCTGCTGAAGAAGGGTCTGGGAAGGAGAAAAATCACTTCTGAAAAATATCTTGCTGAACCTGAGTGAGCAGCATTCTGTCAACCAGCTGCTAATTGGGGCCAAGTTGTTCAAGAGTGTGGTGGCAGGCCAGCTCTAAGCAGCCCTGCAAGCTAGGTGTTTGTTTGTTTTTTGGTGTGTGTGTGTGTGTGTGTGTGCGCATCATCCTGTTCTGGTCTCCTTTTGGTTCCAAGCTAGATCGGGTTTATTTGTGGAAGGAGGTATCTGGAACCCTTTGATTATTGTACTGCTGTTTGCTGTTTTTATGTTGTATTTTTAATTGTTTTAAGGCTGCAATCCTGTACCCACTTACCTAGGAATCAGTTTTGTTGAAATTGGTGAGATTAACTTCTGAAGAGATGTACAGACTTGCAGAAAAGCAGGATAAAAAGTATTTAAAAATAAATTATATGAGGAAAGAACTGTTCTCACATGGCTCAGGCAGTTCATGATAACATTGTTTGGTAATGCTGTGACTGAGCCATGGAGCACTCACATTGTCTTGTGGGGCTCAAAGCTGAGGTAAACTTCCTGAGTGGAATTCGTGATTTATATTTATTAATTCCAGTGGGTCTGCTCTGAGTTGCACTTGGTTGACTACTACACCACTGCCTCCAGAGTCTGTACAATTGGTATAATGAAATTTTAGGGAAGGGGTGGGAAGTTTTTTTTCAGGCAACCCATTGGTTGTCTCATGAAAGTGGTTGGTGGACTCTAGGACACAAAATGGGTGGAGCAGAGAAATTAAGGTGACTCTTACCTTTGTAACAATTAACATTCCAGCCATATCTCAGAGTTTTCTTCATACACCACAGACACAGAGGAAACTGCCTTATACTGAGTTAGACTCATTGATCCATCTAACTCAGTGTGGACTAGAGTGGCAGTGGCATTCCAGAATTTCAGAGAGGGGTCTGAACACACCTCTCCATACACACAAGCAGTCAAGGATGCGTTTTAGCCAACCAAAAGCACGGGGGGGAGAGCAATAGTAATCGCTGGGGGAGAGTTCTGGGGGCCAGGAAGAGAGTCCTGCCAAGCCACACTGTTCTCCTGGGCCTGAGGTTCCCCACACCTGTCATAGGGAAATAGCAAGGCGGAGATGGAGAAGACTTTGCATAGTGAAAAATTGAACAGTGAAAGCCTGGAAGTGCTATTGAAATGTGTACAAGGTGACTTGCAAATTGTGGATCTAATACATTTTGACTAATCTCCTGACAAAAAACTGATTCCCAAACAGTGACGGACTGAACTGCGCAGATGACAGCTGTTTTGTCTGCTAGTATGGCCATAGCATCACGAAGGGCTGTGTTGTCGAGGACTGCATGGGCACGTTTGGCAGCTTTCACCAAGCAAGTTCTGTCTCCTAGTAAGTGTGCATGGATTCTCTTTTAACTCTAATGGAGTGGGATCTTGCTTTGCACACACAGAAGGTGGCTGCTGCTGCTGCTGCTGCCATCACCATGGAGCTAAGCAACTTGTGGTTCTGGATGGGAAAAGAGAGTTTGTGTCTCCACTCAAGAGCAGCATGACTGAGCCAGCTTTGCTGCAGCAAAGGCAGTTCAGCAGCACTCTGGTAGTACAAGAAGAGAAGCTTCTTTCTTTTCCCATTCAAGCCTTGTTGCCTGAGTCTGTGCCCAGGGAGCCTGGAGAAATGTGCTGCTGGCTGACAGACATGCAAGAAGGAAGACTATATGCCCAATCGCTCTGTTGGAGGGGAGGAGCAATAACCGGGAAAACCTGCAATGGCATAGTACACGCCGGGGGATGGAAAAGTAGAGCCCTCCCCTTTATATTCCTGCCCATCTCTCCCAGAGTATTTGGCATAGAGCTGCCTTCATCAACCTGGTGCCCTCCAGCTGCATAGCTGTACACTGCTGGTGCTGATGGGAGTCGTAGTTCAGCAGCATCAGGAGGGCACCAGGTTAGGGAATACTGTCATAGAGTTTGGACCGTGTGCTGCTGCAGAATGGCATACACACCCAGCTTCCCAAAGGGTGTGTGTGTGTGTTTGCCCAGCCTTACCTAATTTGGGTGGGTTCCGTCTTTTCTCCTCTCTCTCTCCCTTTTTTAATGGAGGCTGCTTCTAAAGTGACACCAGTTGGAGAACAGAGGCAGAGGAAGTGGCAAAGCAGCACTGGACTTACTTTTCTTATCCGCAACGTATCAAGTGGCAACTCTGCCATGTGGCACCTGAAGCTGGGGAAGGGTCTCCCTTGCATTGAACAGTCTGCAGGAGGGGCAGGGGGAGGGAAGAATACTTGGCTATCAATCAATCAATCAATCAATCAATCAATCAAGAAGGGTAGGACAGAGCTGTGTAGCTCTTCTGTTATACCATATGCCTCTATCTATAGGGTTATGTGGTGTCATACTGCTTTTTTTCAAAGCAGTCTGACACCTGTAAATATTGTGCAGTGCCAGTGAGGGACATCGCTTGGGGAGAGGCTTTGAAAAGTGAGATAACTTAACACAGGCATCCCCAGACTTGGCCCTCCAGATTTTTGGGACTACAACTCCCATCTTCCCTAGCTAAGAGAACCAGTGGTCAAGGATGATGGGAATTGTAGTCCCAAAACATCTGGAGGGCTGAGTTTGGGGGTGCCTAACTTAACATGTCTTCACATTTATTTATGTTCCAATCCCTACTTTAGTACTGTGAGTTGTTACAATGACCACTTTATGCTCAGCAGTGTTCAAAGGAAACTCGCATTGTGCTGTTTTCTGTCTCCGGTGTTTTACTTGGCTCTTATATTTTCAGATGCATCTGTATTTTGTGCTTGTCCCAAATCTACATATTCAGCTCTTCCTGATGACTATAACTGGTATGTATTAAGCCATTCAGATTTAACTCAAAAGTTCATTTCACAAGTATGTGAAAAGACACCAGGATGTCAGTTGCTATATTAGAAGTAGCAAAATTGCCTGTCCACTCTTACTGCTAGAATAATTTATGAATTTTATATATTTTTTATTAAATATTTATTAAAGTTTTCAATATGCATACATAATTGGTTCACAATAAATTATCAGTCATAACATATTTTCACAACTTCTCTGGACTTCCTCTCATCTTCCGCTCCCATTTTCATCATAAGAAAAAAAAAATTTCAGCAAATTATCCTCTTATTTACATTATACACCCTCAAACTTACTTTATAATCTGATAGTTCCTAAATAGTTCACATTTTCTTAATCTCACTTGTTTTCCTAATTCTATCTAGTTTAGTGGTGCCCAATTCTTTATGATTTAGCAACCTGCTTAACATTCAATCAGATTACAATGTTTTTGTAAATAAATTTTAAATTTCTTCCAGTCTTCTTCCATCCTCTCTTCTCCCAGGTCTCGGATTCTGCCTGTCATCTCGGCCAGTTCCATGTAGTCTATCAGTTGCATCTGCCAGTCTTCCAATGTGGGGAAATCTTGAGTTTTCCAATGCTTCGCTAGGAGTATCCTTGCTGCTGTTGTTGCATACATAAAAATGTTCGGTCCTTCTTTACCACCCCTTGGCCGACAATGCCCAGGAGGAAGGCCTCTGGTTTCTTAGTGAAGGTATACTTAAATACCTTTTTCAATTCATTGTATATCATTTCCCAGAAGGCCTTCACTTTAGGGCATGTCCACCAGAGGTGGAAGAATGTTCCTTCACTTTCTTTACACTTCCAACATTTATTATCAGACAGGTGGTATATTTTTGCCAGTTTGACTGGGGTCATGTACCATCTGTAAATCATTTTCATTATATTTTCTTTCAAAGCATTACATGCAGTAAAGTTCAACCCAGTAGTCCATAGCCTTTCCCAGTCCTCAAACATGATGTTATACCCAATATCCTGCGCCCACCTTATCATAGCAGATTTAACCATTTCATCTTGAGTGTTCCATTTTAGCAGCAAGTTATACATTCTAGAAAGTACCTTAGTCTTTGGTTCTAACAGTTCTGTTTCTAATTTCGATTTCTCCACCTGGAACCCTAGCTTCTAATTTATGAATTTTATAATCTCTTTTCATTTCTCATTAAAAGAAAGAAAACACCATATTATTTTAGTGGAGTTGGGCTTTTGTAGAGCTATGAAGACTTGCTGTAAATGTATTAGACTCTGGAGAGATGCTGCTGGCCAGATTCTAGAAGACTGAGGTAGATTGGCAGATGGACTGATTGGTATAAGGCAGCTACGTATGCACTGTTCCTATGCTTTCATAGCAATCGCTTTTCTCTTGCATCAGGCTGAACATCTCATTAGGACATCAGCTTAGTTGGGCTTGCTGTCAAGGAACTTGGCTTCAACAGCCCTAGTTTGGGTATTTAGTATTGTTCTACCCACAGATTTTTTGAATATAAATGAAGGTCTCTATGCTCTTTGTCTAATAAGATCACTAATTTGGAAGTTTATGAGTGTGGTCAGTAGTCAGTAGCTACATAAAAATGCTGCTGTGAGAGAAAAACTGATATTGAAGTCAGAAATTTCATTAGGATTGTTTGGACAATACGTGAACTGAGGAGGAAACCCAAACAGTGCTTACTCACTGTGGAAAGACTGATGCCAAAGTGCATGCCAAAGGTTACATACTTCAAAGGACTATACTACAGGAAAACAAGTGCTCTGCCTTACTGGATAGCTAAACAGCATTTTTGGTCTATTAGAACAACTTTAAATCATATAAATAAATTTAGATCAATTTAAATATTGTAGAAAAATCTTTTCTTGAGGTCTAGCCTCTAGTCTGGATTTTTAAAATTATTATTTCATTTAATTATGCAAACATTTTAGTTAAAACAAGAAGGAAAAAGCCTTGTCCAATGTCATCTCTTTCCTTTTTTAGCAAAGTGGAACTTGCTGTGACATCGGATGGAAAAACTATTGTTTGCTATCACCCTTCAGTGGACATTCCATATGAGCACACAAGGGTATGTGAATCTGCAAAAAATTATCTTCCTGGTTTTATCAGGAGAACATAGCTCATCTTTGGGTACCCTTCCAGTTTTCTTCTTGGTGGTTATCCTTTACCATGAATGTGATTTAAAAATAGGCTTGTGCTCAAAACTTAAGCTTGGCACACTTAACATAGCTTAAATTTTCAGCTTGATCACCAAAAAGTTCAGATCTGTGGCAATATATACAAGGTCAGCGGAACACCCTAGTCTTCAGCCCTTTTCAAGACTGCATGCATCACTTCACCTTGCTGTTATTTCCCAAAGTGAGCCAGATATCTAGATTATGTTCATCTTTAAATTCTGTTCCGTTAAGCGGAGCACTATTTCAGTAGCTGTTCCCCCAGAGCCAACAGAAAAGAGGCTGCAGTCTACATTTCATGGATAATTAGAAGCCAGAAATGCACAAGTAGTAGTGAGAATGAGCTCTTCCAAGTAGTTTAGTTCCAGCAGAAGTTGCTTGGATCAAAAGAGGGGGAGGTTATTCCCATACAGTGGTGCCTCGCAAGACAAAAAGAATCCATTCCGCAATTCTCTTCGTCTAGCGGTTTTTTCGTCTTGCGAAGCAACCCTATTAGCGGATTAGCGCTATTAGCGGCTATTAAAGGCTTAGCGGCTTAGCTGCTAAAAGGCTATTAGCGGCTTAGAAAAAGGGGGGGAAGCGGGGGAAAAATCGCAAGACTTGCAAGACGTTTTCGTCTTGCGAAGCAAGCCCATAGGGAAAATCGTCTTGCGAAGCAACTCAAAAACGGAAAACCCTTTCGTCTAGCGGGTTTTCCGTCTTGCGAGGCATTCGTCTTGCGGGGCACCACTGTATAAGGTTCAGAACAGTGGCAGGCAAAAGAGCTAGAGAAAAATAGAACTGATAAATTTGTTTGGAGTGAAGAGTATTCGCTTTCGTTCTACAGCATAATGGCCAGGATTCAGCATGCTGTAATCTTTGGGTGGGGTGGGGTTTTAAACGATGTATACAGCAAAATGGCAAATTACATTCAGCCTAAAACTAGCAACACCTGCACATTTCATAACTGTTCTGGCAATAAATATATATGTTTATGGCTTTTCTTTGGGGGGTGTATTTTTTTTGTTTGTTAATTGGGGCAGTTTTCTTTTGACAGCCCATTCCACAACTAGATCCACTGGATTATAGAGAAGAAACACATGATCAAATGCTGAAATCTAGATTGGATGGAAAGAACTTCAAGAACCAGCAAGGTCCTATGATTGAGGAACTTAGTAAAATGTTTTACACAACAAAGCACCGCTGGTACCCTGTGGGACAGTAAGTATTTCCGAGGTTGTTAATTGTGTGGGAGGGTGACGAGTACTGCAGAACCTGGATTGGGTTGGATCCAGACTTTGCCTTCTGCAGATGGAAAGGCCCCTTCATCCGCAGAAGGGTTTTCCTGCTAGCAGAGGGGAGGAAAGCAACTTTTGTTGATTCCCTCCTCCCCCAGCAGCCTCCAGTTCATTCTTCCATGTTTTCAGAGGTTCCCTCAATCCTCCAGAATAGTTGGGGCAAAGCTATTTTTGGTAAGATACCAGGATTTTCATCTGCTCTGATTTTAGCTCCTGCCTAAATGGCTAAACTGATAATAAAGTACCTTAAGAGAGAAATATATATCCAGATACATATGAGAAGACTTGTGCATATCCCAGTACCTAAATGGGCTAGGAAACACGGTGCTTGAATTTCTGGAATGGTTCGTTATGTTGAGAATTACTGATAATAATTTAACTCATCTAGTCCTACCAATAAGATTTTTATTTTATTTTTGTATAAACAAACAATGTAATTCATGCAGGCATGAATACTGATCCAGTTTTATGTTTGGCAGTCATCTATAGCCCTACCAACAAGAAAACAAACTTGCTTTTTTTAAAAAAAAAATGCAGGAATTCCTTTATTTTGTATTTTTAAAATACCTTTATTTATACTTATTCAAAGATATAGAAAAGTTCGTACCCATTCGAAGTATCACAATGAACAGTAGAGGGTGAAAACAAGGCTTTTCCTCTAAGAAAACATGTCTATAAAAGTCTACAGCATAAAAGTTTACAACATAAAATATAAGATTACAAGCATTAACATAGCTGGAGCAGAGCTTCTTAGCTGCCAGAGCAAATTTGGCTACCAGATGAGTAATTTGTAGATATTTATCAGCTAAGAGTTCAACTGTCACTTCCTGGAGGGGATCAGCTTGGACATTGTATATAAGGAGCAAATCAATAGATATCCTTGACCTGATTACATCCACAAATGTGTTTCTGTTTCATATGGGGTATTCCAAAGTATCCCCCCCTCTAAGTATATTGAGGACATCTGCTGGAACCTTAGTTTGACAAAGGCCCCAATAGTTTTTTCCACAACTATTCAGGGTCTCAGGGTAATGGGGCATTGAGTAAGGTAAGGGACCCCTGACCATTAGGTCCAGTCGTGGCCGACTCTGGGGTTGCGGCGCTCATCTCGCTTTATTGGCCGAGGGAGCCGGCGTCCAGCTTCTGGGTCATGTGGCCAGCATGACTAAGCCGCTTCTGGCGAACCAGAGCAGTGCACGGAAACACCGTTTCCCAAATAGACTCATCCAAAACCTTGGGGAGCTGCCGCCAATCATTGTGGATGTTACTGAGCTGGATGGACCAGGTAGTAAACGGATTTCTTATTTTCCTGTGCTACACACATCCCCTAGATTGAATTGTGTGTAGCAGTCTCTGGCCATATAGTCCTGCAGTTTAGCCACCATGGATGTAGTTTATCATAGAAGCAGAAGTCTTGATCAAGCTCTTTTCTAGCACAGCTAGCAAGAGAGACACAATCTGATGCTGTGCTGAGTATAGGATTGGATATAGGACTCCTAGGGAACTTTCATCCTTTGTGTGCTGCTGGAAGTTGGATTTGCCCAAGAAACAAAACAATACAGGGTGTTTTTGCACTACAGAAGACTTGATTTTTATTTTGTATTGGGCAGACAAATATATACAAGGTATAATAACTGTAATGTCAAAACACAGTGTCAACATGACAATCACTGGTCTCTTAAAATGGAGTATTCAAATGACTGAACGTATGACAAAATACATTTTAATGTGTTTCTTCTCTTTTTTTCTTCAAGGTACCACACTAGACGCAAGAAAACCAATACCCCTAAAGACAGATGAACACCATGTTTGTCACCTTGTTGTTGCTGTCGGGGCAAGCGACTACTTAAGTGGATGAGATTGCTTTGAAAGTGTATATATATGTTAGGTTGTCATTAAAGTACTTTTCTAACTCAAACTTGCTTTGTGCCTTCGCCCGTTCCTGTGTGCTGGTTTGCTGGGCCTAATTTCAGAGCACAAGGACTGAACTAACAGCTCGCTGTTCCTACTAGGGCAGACCTTGGAAAACAAGGCCAATGCTGCAGCTGAAATGAGTGTTAAACAGGGGGTTGAAATCCAGGGCAACTTTCTGATGAGACTTGTGATGAGCAGAGGAGCCCAGAGATCAAGAAGGAAATGCATAGCCAACAGAACTGGATGCCTCAGACTTCTAGGAGACTGACACTAAATAAGTGAAACATGATGACCACGAAGACTTACGTGAAGAAACATTAAGCCTCCAGCGCGTCATGATGGCAAGTAATGCCTGTGTGGAACATTCATGCTATGCCTACTACTGGAATTAACCAGCTCTAGTAAAGCTGTGTTCCAGAAATAATTTACTGAATGTTATTGATTAGCAGTTTTCCCAGCTAAACAATGTGGATTGAAGAATTTGGCCTACATCCAATGCTGTAGCTCTGCTCACGCAACAGAATTTACTCTCTTCCAGCCCCCCACATGCACAGAAATCAGCTCTGAAGGAGCAGATTTGGGGGCTGGGGAGGAAACGGGTCGTGTTTTGCGAGCAGAACTTCACTCACACAGCAATAAGATTACAACCCTTGAGGCAGTTTTATCTCTTAAGTCTTTGGGCTCCCAGTTTGGCTTACAAAAATAACTAGTTATAAAAAACCAGTGTGGAACTTCCGCTCTTTGCTTACTGATTTAAATATTTTATTAGTCAAAAAACTATCATTTACTAAGTGGGATAGAGAGAAAAGCAGAAGATTGTTCTTGCTCATTGTGTAATAGAATACAAAATGAAAAAGGGATTGAGGGGAGAAAGCAATTTCAAGTATCAATTCTTAGTTATCTAATCTCAGCAGTACTTGACTGGACAGTTAAGTCCAGTCGCAAACGACTCTGGGGTTGCGGCGCACATCTCGCTTTACAGGCTGAGGGAGCTGACGTTTGTCCGCAGACAGTTTTTCCAGGCCATGTGGCCAGCATGACTAAGCCGCTTCTGGTGAAACCAGAGCAGCGCACGGAAATGCCATTTACCTTCCCGCCAGAGTGGTACCTATTTATATACTTGCACTTTGATGTGCTTTCGAACTGCTAGCTTGGCAGGAGCTGGGACCGAACAATGGGAGCTCACCCCGTCGCGGGGATTCAAACCGGCGACCTTCCGATCAGCAAGCCCAAGCCTCTGTGGTTTATACCACAGTGCCACTCGCGTCCCAGTCTTGACTAATAATGGGAAAGTAATTACCATGTTTTGCAAGATTTTTGTTCATATGTTGTAGGGACAGAATGCCCAGATTTCCTGCATAACTGGAACGTTGCATAATAACATGAATGATTTGGCTTGGAACGTCTTACAAGACTTAAAGGTAAAGGGAACCCTGACCATTAGGTCCAGTCGCGGACGACTCTGGGGTTGCAGCTTTCATCTTGCTTTATTGGCCGAGGGAGCCGGTGTACATTTTCCGGGCCATGTGACCAGCATGACTAAGCCACTTCTGGCGAACCAGAGCAGCGCACGGAAACGCCATTTACCTTCCCGCTGGAGCGGCACCTATTTATCTACTTGCACTTTGACATACTTTTGAACTGGTAGGTTGGCAGGAGCTGGGACAGAGCAACGGGAGCTCACCCTGTCGTGGGAATTCGAACTGCCGACCTTCTGATTGGCAAGCCCTAGGCTCTGGTTTAACCCACAGCGCCACCCACGTCCCTAGACTTAAGTTTCCCCAAAGCATCAACTCGGCTTAATGTTGGGGAAATTAAATGGAGCTCTCAGGTGCTCTTGTACCATTTCTGCTTACACTTGTAGCCATCTTCTTCAAAGTAGGGCAACAGCAACTCCAAATGGATGGTTGGCACATATCAGCTCCTCTGATGGTACAGATTATGTCCCAGAGAGCCTTTTCACAGAAAGGTGTTGAAGACATGATCTAGAAAAGTATCTCAATCCATTTCGGTGGGATCTGTCTAGGGCAGCTGGAAACATTACAAGTATTTGGGGGGTGGGAAACGCAAGAGAATTTATACCATGAATCTGCACTGTCAAAGAGTCAGCTCTCACTGATTAAAACCAGGATGCCATCTGCTGCCCAGGTGCCTATGGAGATGGGAGGAATTGAAGCAACATTTGCTCCAAGCTCCGACTTTGGGTGGTTTAGAGAGGAAAGGCATGTTCTCGGAAAGTATTAATCTTGGAAGCAGAAAACCAGGTGCATAAATGCATGCAAAACTTGAGTTCCCCAAGTATGTGAAAGGTAGACTAAGACTAAACTGTACCTAATCACTTCAATTAAAGTGGCATGAGGGAGTTGGTGACTGAGATCTGAAAAGTAAAGGAAAGATATATGGCTCCATGCCATCAATAGTAAGGTTAACCGATCACAGTAAGTAAAATATATAAAAAGAGAAAACGTACAGAAAGCAGCTACTAAAATAGCAACATTAAACCAGAGGAAATGGTTTTGTACATTTTTGGAAGAAAAAAAGAATCAAGTTACCCAGAGCACTAAAATTACGAAAGACAAAATACGTTATTTCAGTTTAGTGTTTGGAAAGGAAAGGAATATTAAAATGGGAGCAGATCAATGTCATGATAGTGGCATTTTCTTTTTGGTTTTACAAATGAATCTATTCTGTAACCACTCCTGATTATAGATGTTACCATTACACATTGCAGTCTCAACCAGCAGAGGGCACTGCTAGACAAGACCTCGGCTTTACTTACCTATAATTTAACTACATACAGTGGTACCTTGGTTCTCAAACTTAATCCATTCCGGAAGTCCGTTCCAAAACCAACGCGTTCCAAGACCAAGGCACACTTTCCCACAGAAAGTAATGCAAAATGGATTAATCCGTTCCAGACTTTTAAAAACAACCCCTAAAACAGCAATTTAACATGAATTTTACTTTCTAATGAGACCATTGATCCATAAAATGAAGGCAATAATCAATATAAAAGGTAAAGGGACCCTGACCATTAGGTCCAGTCGTGACCAACTCTGGGGTTGTGCGCTCATCTCGCTTTACTGGCCGAGGGAGCCGGCGTACAGCTTCCGGGTCATGTGGCCAGTATGACTAAGCTGCTTCTGGCAGACCAGAGCAGCACACGGAAACGCCGTTTCCCTTCCCGCTGGAGCGGTCCCTATTTATCTACTTGCACTTTGACATACTTTCGAACTGCTAGGTTGGCAGGAGCAGGGACCGAGCAACGGGAGCTCACCCCGTGATGGGAATTCGAATCGCCGACCTTCTGATTGGCAAATCCTAGGCTCTGTGGTTTAACCCACAGCGCCACCTGTGTCCCTTAATAATCAATATACTGTACTATAAAATAAAAAAGACAATATTGTAGATGATAAAAAAAAATTAAAAAATTCTTACCTGCACTGATGATAGTCATTGTTTGGGTGGGGGGCTTTTATCCATTTCTGCAGTCACACAATCAGTAGCTGAACTGGGTTCCACATTCCCCAAAACGAAGGCACTAGGCAGAGTCCCCCAAAAGTCCCCAAAATGAAGGAGCAAGGCAGAGACAAAGGCAAAAACTCCCAAAAACAAAGGAACAAGGCAGAATCCCAAAATTTTCCACTCACCCCCTCCCATTGAGTGGGTAGGCTTACCTGGCAAGGTGCCACATACCTTGCTACCAGCTGGGAGTGCGGTGAGGGCAAGTAAAGGGCTGGTGCTTTGTTTTCTTACCTGGAGTTCATCACTGGACTTCGCTGTTGGTTAGGTAAGTGTTCCTCATGGGGGTTTGGGGTTGTGGTACAGCATGCTAGGCCTCCCATGGTGGGCGCCTTTTTCCCCCGGCAGTGGAGGCCGAATCAGGGCACGTTCAGCTTCCGAAAAATGTTTGATTACCAGAACACCTATTTCCGGTTTTGCAGCGTTCGTGTTCCAAGTTGTTCGTGAACCAAGCTGTTCGAGAACCGAAGTACCACTGTACTAGAATGGGGGGCGGGGGTAGAGAGAGAAGTAAAACGAAGACTTGAAGACATTATCAACAATTTGAGGAAAATCTGAAACGTGAGTGGGGTACACCAGGAAAGTTAAGCAGTTTGTAAGGAACTATAATACTGGATCGTTTTACACTTTTCTGAATAATTTGGCACAAGGGTACCTAAGTGGAACTATGTGTTTGTCTTGGTTCTCTGAAAGGAAGGGGAAGAACTGAACAGCTCCCCTCTCTTCGTTTGCAAGTCAAGAGTGGCAGGAGGTGATGTAAAGATAAAAATAGGGCACATGTTAATACTCTTATTATTTACAGAAGTTCAATTTAACAAGCAAGATGAATCCAAAGACATTTACAAGCTGCTTTAAAGTAACTTTGAAGTGGCCAAGAACATACGTGTAATGCTATACATGTTAACTTGACAATAAGCCCAACTGTATTACATTAGATTTGCTCCTGAGTAGACACATAGGATTGTGCTGTCAATGAGCTAGGCCTCTCTTTTCCAGAGTGCATCAAACTGACACCAGATTCTGCAGTGACAGGGTATCATTTGCCACTTGTGTACAATACTCATAAATCCTGAGGAGCTGTGTATGGCTACAAATACAAAATGGGCAGCTAGAAACTTAAAGAGCTTCAGTAAAAGGAAACTAAAAGAAGCTGAAAGCCACGGCTATGCTAATAAGCCACCACAAGGTAGTCCCTTACAGCCGTGCAAATGGAAATTGTTGCCATTGTTGCCATTGTTATTTGCTATAGAGCACCAGCAATGTACTTTTATATTAAACTACCTTGGGATGAGCTTGTGGTATTTATGTGCCTTTTCCATCTAGAAAAAGAATAATTCAGTGAGTTGAGAGTGCTTGCTTATGAAAAATGTGAACCCTGAGAGTTGGTGAAAGTGTTTCTAACTGGTACACAACCAGTCTTGAACATTTCAATCCAGCAAAATGTTTATTTACTGACAGCAGGAAATATTTCAGCCCACGGCA